GGGTGTGAGTGAGCGCCCCCCTGAACCATACCAGGCCACATGCTGTCAACATGGGGGAGTGCTGTGGGGCAGGGGGCTCCCCCCAAAGCACCTTGGCCCCATGTTGATGGGGACAAGAGCCTCTTTTCAACAACCATGGCTGGTGGTTGTGGGGGTCTGTGGGTGGGGGGCTTTTAAGAATCTGGAACCTCCAGTTAACAAGGGGCCCCCCAGATCCCAGCCCCCCCATGTGAATGCGAATGGGGTACATGGTACCGCTACTCATTCACAAAAAAAAAGTGTAGTTTAAAAAATGACAGTAGACAGTCTTTGACAAGTCCTTTTTATTAAAAACAACAATTTAAAAAAAGTCCCCTGAAGTAGATCCAACGTCAATCACGATGCCTGCCACAACCACCGACCCGAAAAAAAAAAAAAAAAAAAAAAATGCTCCGCTCTCAACGCTGGCTCCCACCATCTGACAGCTGCACCAGGATGACAGTTCTTAAATACTGTGATGACATCATGAGGGGGCAGGATTGCCCTGCCCCTTGTGACATCATGATGTGATTGGCCAAAGCATTGCGCGTGACCTGTGGTCAGGTGCTTTGCTTTGGCCAATCATAGTGCACTGTGGGGCGCAGTGGGCAAACAGCACGCAGAACGCCCTTACCATTCATGTGTTCAACGAACACATAAACAGCTGATGTTCGAATCGAACTTATGTTCAACTCGAACATCAAGCCGAACCCTAGTCAGGAGTAGCTCTTCAGTAGTTCTGATGTATACACAAGTAAGTTTGTTACAAAGAATGCAACAACCTACAACGCCATCCACAACTCTCCCCCAGATACATCACTAACCTAGTCTGAAAATACCCTCAAAATCATTCTCATCTTTCCTAAGACCTCCTGATTGCTAGCTCCCCATTGTCACCTCTTCCCATGCTTGCCTCCAGGACTTTTCCTATGCCTCTCCCATCCTCTGGAATTCCCTATCCCAGTCTGTCCAACTATCATCTACTCTGTCCACTTTTAGGTGATCCCTGAAAACCCTTCTCTTTAGAGGAGCCTATCCTGCCTCCATATCACAACTGTACTTTTATTTTCTCCATCAGCTCATCCTCCACAGTTTTACCTTTTGTATTGCCTGATCCTCCCTCTTGGATTGTAAGCTGTTACAAGCAGGGCCCTCTGACTCCTCCTGTATTGAATTATTTTGTAACTGTATTGTCTGCCCATGATGAAAAATGCTGTGAAACTGTTGGAGCTGTATAAATCCTGGATAATAATAATAATGCTTAGTTACATATCCAGAGTGGAAACCTCGGGGACAATATTGATGTCAAAGAAGATTATAAAAAGGAGGACATGGGGTATGCTGTGACAGAGGAGCTCTCTGAGGAACACCAGGATATCTACAAGGACATCATGATGGACCCACCTAATACCAGGAACCCACCAGAGAGATGTCCTCATCCTTTGTATTCCTGCGATTCCACACAGGAAGGTCACACCATCCCTCACCATTACAGGGTAGGTGGAATGAAGATAATGTTTGGATTTTTTATGAGGTTATATTTTACAGATGATATTTTCTCCCATCTTCTTGGTTTAGGGTGAAGATCTGATAGCTATAAAAGTTGAGGTTAAAGCAGAAGAAGAAGAGGCGTATGTGAGGGATGATCAGCAGTCTATGGAGGAGGATGGAATAACGGGGACATTTATAGAGGAGGACATTCCTACAGAGATCAGCACAGGTGGGTCATGAACACTAATGCAGGCCATAGATGGGGAGAAAACCGGACGATTTTTCTTAAAAAAAAACAAAAAAATCGGTCGTTCAAGTGGCCGACGTTACCAGGAATGGTAAAAAAAATTGGCCGATTTTCATCCCGTCTACAGCCGGCAAAAAGTGTCCCTGCAGAGAGCTCCGTTATTTCTTTGACAGTTCTTTGACATTTATAGCGGCTGCAACAATGTATCTATTTGTATCCATTTTGGATACAGATGTTTTTATTCGGAAACAAATAGATACAATGTTGCAGCCGCTATAAATGTCAAAGAAATAGCGGAGCTCTCTGCAGGGACACTTTTTGTCGGACTGGAATTTTTCTTCTTCTTCATCCTCTTCTTCTTCATCCTCTTCTTCTTCTTCCTCTTCTTCATCCTCTTCTTCTTCTTCATCCTCTTCTTCTTCTTCCTCTTCTTCATCATCCTCTTTTTCTTCATCCTCTTCTTCTTCTTTATCCTCTTCTTCTTCATCCTCTTCTTCTTCATCCTCTTCTTCTTCTTCATCCTCTTCTTCTTCTTCATCCTCTTCTTCTTTTTTTGTCTTCCTCTTGCAGGTCACTGCTCATGCGCAGATTTTTTTTATCGGTAAAAAGATCGGACGATTTGCCCATAATTGCCGCGAAAATCGGCCGATCGGCAAAATCGGCCAATCTTTTTCCAACTTTACCGATAAAAAAAATATCAAAAAACGGCCGAACAATTAACCCACTAACGATCCGAAAATCGGACGATTTTCGACCCATCTATGGCCTGCATAAATCCATTCCTCCACCCATACTGCTTACTGATTGGTCCAGAGTAGGGCGGGGACTGGGTGATATCAGCCTGTAATCCCCTGGTCACTTTCCTGAGCTGTGTTCCCCGTCCTGTATTCCTGGATTTCTCTCGGATAATCTTCCTTCTCTGTGCTGCAGACACAATTTATGTATCTAGACTGGATTTATGGAGATTCTGGGGATCAGATGGCAGCAAATTTTTTATTTTCTTAAAAGGCGTTACTAGTCCTAGGCACCTGGGACAAAGCTCTCGGGTCTTTGGCCCAATGTCTGGGTCTAGCAAGATCTCTGACAGAACAAATCTCCCAGGGTTCCTTGCTCTGTGGTCTGCTGGCTGTGCCGGGTGGAGGGATATGTCTGTATAGTCTCAGACCCAAGTCACTGAGTGCAGTCTCAGGAGATGGGAGGCAGTAAACATTTAAACTTCACTGATTAATGAATACCAATATTCTGAGTTCTAACCGACGTTACCAGCAACGGTAAAAAAAATCGGCCGATTTTCATCCCGTCTACAGCCGGCAAAAAGTGTCCCTGCAGAGAGCTCCGCTATTTCTTTGACAGTTCCTTGACATTGATAGCGGTTGCAACAATGTATTTGTATCCATTTAGGATACAGATGTTTTTATTCGGAAACAAATAGATACATTGTTGCAACCGCTATAAATGTCAAGGAACTGTCAAAGAAATAGCGGAGCTCTCTGCAGGGACACTTTTTGCCGGACTGGAATTCCTCTTCTTCCTCTTCTTCTTCATCCTCTTCTTCTTCTTCTTCCTCTTCCTCTTCTTCTTCATCCTCTTCTTCTTCATCCTCTTATTCATCTTCTTCATCCTCTTATTCATCTTCTTCATCCTCTTCTTTCTCCTCTTCTTCATCTTCCTCTTCTTCTTCATCCTCTTCTTCTTCTTCTTCATCCCTCTTCTTCATCCTCTTCTTCTTCATCCTCTTCTTCTTTTTTCTTCTTCTTTTTGTCTTCCTCTTGCAGGTCACTGCTCATGCACAGATTTATTTTATCGGTAAAAAGATCGGCCGATTTGCCCATCATTGACGCGAAAATCGGCCGATTTTTTTCCAACTTTACCGATAAAAAAAATCTGCCAAAATACCAAAAAACGGCTGAACAATTAGCCCACTAACGAACCGAAAATCGGCCAATTTTATTTTCGGCCGAAAAATCGGCCGATTTTCGACCCATCTATGGCCTGCATTACTCTCTGTTGTACATTATATAAATCTGATACCTTGCCAAAAGTATTGAGCCAGCCCTCCTAATCATGTGATTCAGGTGTTTTAATCCCCTCCATGGTCACAGGTGTATAAAATCATCACCTAGGCATGTAGACTGTAATCAAAGTCCTCCTGCGCTTAGGTGAACCTGTGGCTAAAGTTGCTAACACCTAACCACATACCAATAAAAATGGTCAACCCAAAATGTAAATTGTGGTGCTGCGCTAATTAAACTATATGTGAACCCCAATACGTGATAGTCAGTGAATGGGTAAACAATATCCCCTTATAAATCAATTAAATCAAAATATGATATGTACCCCAAAATATACCTCTACACCTCCTCTACTAAGTGAGTACATAAACAAAATATTCCACACATGCATACACAATAACTATACCCATATATTAAATGCCATGATGTCGAATGAACTTCTAAATGGCAACACCAGTGAATAAATAAAGTGACATAAACGCATGTAAACGTTACATGCCCTGGATAAGCAGGTTGAAAGAAATAATAGTGATCCCACTAGGGGATAAAAATCAAAGTGAATCAGTGAAACCTGGTAAACATGAGAAAAAAAAAGGAAAAGAGGAATCAAAAAGGTAAACGCATGTATATGCGCAAAATGATTTGTGAATCTAAACAATGCCAGTGATCCCACTATGGGATAAATACAGTGGATCCGTGAAACCACAAATGGTGGTAATTGTGAAAGAAAGAGATAAGGTCCATGAATAAAGAAATGACCTGGTAGGAGATCAGAGGAGCCATTTCCTAGTTCCCTTGAGGGTGGAATTGTAAGCTCCTCAGAGACCAAGCTGCCTGATGTGGGAGGAGTCCTGGTTTGGGGGAACCAATCAGCTCCTGTCTAGTAATCCTCTTTGTCTTTGTATTTTAGTCCATGGCCGGGAGATGAGGAAAACCTCTGAGGATTGTCTCACTTTGTCTCCAGACTGGAAAGTAGAAGATGAGGACATCACACAGTATAGTCCAGGAGAAAACCCGGCTCCCTCCAATGTCCATCCGGCACCACCCAGTGTAGATGGACCATCGGATTCCTTGTATCCTGAGGACCCTCAGACTGTGCGGGACCGGGCCGGCTTTCCAACAGAGAAGAGGTTCTCCTGTACTGAATGCGGGAAGAGGTTCCATTTTAAAACCAGTCTTAATGTGCATAAAAGATGATGTCACACGGGTGAGAAACCGTATTCCTGCCCTAAGTGTGGGAAATGTTTTTCAGATAAGTCCAATCTTTCCAACCATCAGAGATTGCATACAGGTGAGAAGACCCTTTCCTGTCCTGAGTGCGGGAAATGTTTTTTACAAAAATCAGAACTTTTAACACATAAAAGGTCTCACACGGGGGAGAAGCTTTATTCCTGTCCTGATTGCGGAAAATGTTTCTCAAAGAAGTGCAATCTTTCTGTACATCAGAGATCTCATACGGGAGAAAAACCTTATTCCTGTCCCGAGTGCGGAAAATGTTTTTCAAAAAAGTCCAATCTTTCTGTACATCAAAGATCTCATACGGGAGAAAAACCATATTCCTGTCCTGAGTGTGGGAAATGTTTTTCAGATAAGTCACATCTTTACAGACATCAGAGATCTCACACAGGTAAGAAGACACTTTCCTGTCCTGAGTGCGGGGAATGTTTTTTACAAAAATCAGAGCTTGCAAAACATAAAAGGTTTCACACAGTAGAAAAGCTTTATACCTGTTCTGAGTGTGGAAAATGTTTTTCAAAGAAGTCCAATCTTGCCACACATCAGAGATCTCACACAGGGGAGAAGCCATTTTCCTGTCCTGAGTGTGGGAAATGTTTTTCAAAGAAGTCCAATCTTTCTGTACACCGGAGATATCACACGGGGGAAAAACCTTATTCCTGTCCTGAGTGCGGGAAACGTTTTTCAGATAAGTCACATCTTTACAGACATCAGAGATTGCATACAGGTGAGAAGCCGTATTCCTGTTCTGCGTGTATGAAATGTTTTATACAAAAATCAGAGCTTGTAAAACATCAGAGGTTTCACACGGGGGAAAAGCCATATTCCTGTCCTGATTGCGGGAAATGTTTTTCACAGAAGTCCAATCTTTACAGACATCAGAGATCTCACATGGGAGAGAAGCCACTTTCCTGTCCTGAGTGAGGGAATTGTTCCTTGATGAAGTCCTGTCTTCCTGTACATCAGGGGTCCCACACACACCCTGGAGGTGTATTAGTGCCTTGAGTGCGGGAAATGTCTTCTAGATGAATGTTGCTGGATATCCCAGCTCTCATGTGGGGAAGAAGCACACCCTGATATACACCTCAGATATACTCCATGGCTGATCTTCATCATGGAAGAAACAGTTCATAAGGAGATCAGAGGTCCCCAAAGACATGGATGAAGTGTGGGACCGGGTTGGCCATTGATAGCAGGAGAAGAATAAAAATGGAGTCATCACCTTTCATTGGCTGAGTGCATTTTATGGTGGGAGATTTCACAAACACTTAGAAGTCTTTTTTTTTTTTTAAATGAGTTGAACGAATGTGACCGACATTCACCCAGCTTTGATGAATATTGGCCCTTTTTTATTTTATACAGTGATTTCCTATGATGATTGGCTCCATCTAGTGGAAAAATACTGCATAGAGCTGACGATTATAGGAATTTGCTTTGTTAATGAAATCACGGGCAGAATGCTTGTCACAGTCGTCCAACAAATTTTCTATACTGGAATGGAATAGAATTGGTTCGTTTATAGTGGTTAGTAAAGCCGCTTTGTTAATTTTTACCTACAGGTAATCTTGTAATAAACCTTTCCTGTAGGTAAAGTAAATCTCTCCTTAATGTGCCCCGTTTAGGAGATATTCAGGTTTTATTTACAGCTGGCGCATGCACTTTTAAGGAATGACATACCCGCACCATTCCTTCAGAGCACTGTGCTGTGCCCAGAGACTCCTGTGCGCATGAGTGACGTCATCACGGCTCAGATGGCCGGAGCTCGCAAACCCGGAAGGAAGTCCTACAGAGGTGACGGCGCGCCGCTGGAGGGCTTCATTTTAACCGCTTGCCTGCCGCCCTATAGAAGAAATACTGCTACAGGGCGGCAGGGGTGCGCAAAATCACGTATACATTTGTGATTTCGCATTTCCGGGTAAGGGGCGTGCACCCTACCCATGCCGCCATTGGCAGCCTCAGCTGTCGATCACCGTGTCCCAGCTGGTAATTCCCTGCCGACAGCCGGTGATCTCCGAGTATTACCGACAGGGAGAGACCTGTAAGTAAACAATACAGTTCTCTCCCCTGTCAGCTCCAGCACCTTGCTTTGTATGGCTCTCTGGGTAGGGCGGCATGGGTAGAGTGCGTGCCCCCCTACCCAGAAATGCAAAATCACGAATATATACGTGATTTTGCGCACCCCTGCCGCCCTGTAGCAGTATTTCTTTGCATATGTATGGCTCTGCATAGCAGTGTGATTACAGTGAAGAAGACAGCACCGTATGTAAAACACACCCAGCACATGGCAGGGCTGCGCAAAGTCACGTGTATATATACATGATTTTCATTCCCAGGTAAAGGGGCACGCTCATTACTCTACCCACGCCTCTATTGGCTGTTGGACATGTCAATCACCGGCTCCCGGTCAGAAATTATTGCCCGACTCATTGGCAGAGCTGACAGGGGAGAGGCCTGTGAATTAAGGTGGCAATTCTTTGTGAGGAAGCGCCAAGAGAACGAGACTATTTCTCAGTTTGCTCTTGCTACACAAGAGTTGTGGAAATGGCTGAAAGACAAGGCTCAGCAGGCTCATAGAGACCCCAAACCAAAGTCAACAGGGATCAATTTATCTCAGGGATTCAAGCTGGCCCCTTACAAGGGGCACTGAAAGACAAAGTGAAAGCCATCAAAGACTTGGTGTTAAGTGTGATACTAGCCAATGCAGTGGGGAGGGGTAAAGAAGGATGCGGAAGCTCAAGTTGCAGTTACCCAAGGATGTGGATGACTTCTATTTAGGGAGGAAGCCCTTGCCCCTTCCTCCCTATTTGGTTCCCTCACTTTTATCCAGCAAAAAGTTTCAGCTGTAAAACGGGAGCTGGGGCAGACTTCCCTGGGTGATATTCCCCTTTGGAGGGATTCCAATATGGACAGGAAATGTTCGTGACTGAAAGACAAGGCGCAGCAGGCTCATAGAGAACCCAAACCAAGTCACCAGGGATCAATTTATCTCAGGGATTCAAGCTGGCCCCTTACAATGGCCACTGCAAGACAAAGTGAAAGCCATCAGAGACTTGGTGTTTAGTGTGATAATAGCCAATGCAGTGGAGAGGGGTAAAGAAGGATGCGGAAGCTCAAGTTGCAGTTACCCAAGGATGTGGATGACTTCTATTTAGGGAGGAAGCCCTTGCCCCTTCCTCCCTATTTGGTTCCCTCACTTCTATCCAGCAAAAAGTTTCACCTGTAAAACGGGAGCTGGGGCAGACTTCCCTGGGTGACATTCCCCTTTGGAGGGATTCCAATATGGACAGGAAATGTTGGTGGTGTGGTCATCAAGGGCATATAGTGAGAAACTGTAATCTGGAGGAGGACAGGAATTCTCCCCTGCCAAACTATTAAAAATAGGTATCCCTGGAGCAGAGGGAGATCCTGAGGGAACTTCTTCAGCACCTCCCAGGTGTGACTCCAAAATGTTTTCTTCATCCTGTTTGGTCATCATGGAATGGGTGACAAGCTTGCTGGATACAGGGTCTGAGTTAACTGCCTGGACTATGCTTTCTTCCAACAGCAGTTTGGGCAAGTCTCTGCCCTAGACCCCAACCTGGCTAACTTTACTGGAATAAGAGGATTATTCACAGCCTTTAGACGGGGGTCACCTGGATGTCCAATAAGGTATTCGACCAGACAGCAGATTGCATTGGAGAGGTGGTAACCCATGGAGCAAACCCAGGTGTTGGGCACAAAATGACTTAAGAACGCTACAGCGCAGTCAGCTACCCCCCTCCCAAAAGCAACTTCATCTTCAGAATCTAGTAAGTTCCTATCAAGCCCAACATAGACGTCGGAAGATCTTCCTTTGAAAAAGTCACAGTAAAGTGACCAAACGCATCAGGATCGTGGCTGTATGATGTCATCACACACGGGTCATTACCGGAAGTGGATGTCTATGTGTTCCTGAAGGTGGCAATACAGATACTAAAGAGGCGATATAGCTGAGTGCAATGGGATACAGTACACATTGTTTATGAGTGATTTTATCTGGCTTTTAAATAAATTTGGGCTTTTTTAATGAATATATTGTGAGATCTATCATTTCTCTTGATCCAACTTTGCTGATGTTGAGAAGGGCTGGTGTGTGGTGCAGTAGGAGAAGCTGCCGAATACAGATGGGTTACACCCGGGATTACATTGGCCCAGCATAAAGGGCAAGGTGCATATTGACCTTACAGTGCAGTAGGTCATATCTATAGGTACGTAGGTGGTGTAGAAGGTGGTGGGGGTCACAGAATGGTTGTGCTTTTTCACAGCTGGATACATTATAATGAAATAAAGTTAGTTTGTAGTGATGGGCCGAAAACCCCCCCGTTCAGTTTGCAACATGTTTGTTGCACATAACGAACGTTCGTTTTGAATAGAGGGGGCAATTCACTAAGCGGTATCTAACCGCATCTCAGTATGCAGGAAGATACCGCACAGCTACTAAAAACATTCCTCAGCTAAATATACAAAAGAATTGCCAGCAGTGCCCGGCAATTAAGATTCTTTTTTTAAAAAAAAATGTGTGACCTCCCCCCCGCCATCCATACTAAGCCCTTCAGGTCTGGTATGGATTTTGAGGGGAACCACCACGCCAAAATTTTTTTTATAAATGGCGTGGGGTTCCCCCCAAAATCCATAACAGGCCCGGCAGGTCAGGAAAGGGTGGCCATTCATTCCATACCAGGCCACGTGCTCTCAACATGGGGGGGTGCTTTGGGGCAAGGGAGGCTCCCCGCCAAAGCACCTTGTCTCCATGTTGATGCAGCACCAACACTACTATTTTGTGCACAAACGTACACGGGGACGATTGGAGTGCTGGACTATTATTGAATGAGATTAATTATATTTTATTTATGGATTTATTGATTTATTCATCTTATCAACCATTGATGTGTATATTCATATGATCACACTTGGTACACATGGACGATTCAGCAATTGCTAGTGTAAATACACAGCTCAAAAAATGAAAGAAAGACTTTTGAACCACATCAGATCTGAATGGGGAAAAAATCTCCTGCTGGATCTCTATACTGACATGGACGGGTAATGTGTTAGGAATGTAAGGACGCCCCATTGTTTGATGGATATGAAAATGATCAGCCTAGAGGACTGAATTCAAAGACACCCCAAAAATCAAAGTGAAAAAATGATGCAGCAGGCGAGTCCATTCTGCTGAAATGTCATTGCAGCAACTCAGAATGGTCCTCAGTATTTTGTATGACCCCCACGTGCTTGTATGCATGCCTGACAACGTCGGGGGAGGCTCCTAATGAGACGATGGATGGTGTCCTGGGGGATTTCCTCCCAGATCTGGACCAGGATATCACTGAGCTCCTGGACAGTCTGAGGTGCAACCTGGCAGAGTTGGACGAACCAAAACATGACATCCCAAAGGTTTTCTATTGGATTTAGGTCAGGCGAGCGTGGGGGCCATTCAATTCCTTCATCCTCCAGGAACTGCGTGCATACTCTCCCCACATGAGGCCGGGCATTGTCGTGCACCAGGAGGAACCCAGGACCCACTGCACCAGTGTAGGTTCTGACAATGGGTCCAAGGATTTCACCCTGATACCTAATGGCAGTCTGGGTGCCATTGTCTAGCCTGTAGAGGTCTGTGTGTCCCTCCATGGATATGCCTCCCCAGACCATCACTGACCCCCCACCAAAACAGTCATGCTGAATGATGTTACAGGCAGCAGAATGTTCTCC